ATGAATAGTCCTAGACATTAACTTAAGCAGCTTCAGTAGGATTACTAGCTAACTTCATATTATCCTTATCCTAAATCTACAAATAAAGGATTTTTATCTGCCAAATCACTTTGTGGTCATGGAGCCTCAGTGCTTTCTTGCTTCTGACTCTTCATCCAAAGACAGTCAGTGGTAAACGGAGCTCTTTGCTTTTAAGTGAAATTTTGGATTAGAATATAGCTTTGGGGGGGAGGGGTCTTCAAAGGCACCAAGTGATGCCCATGTTTGCCTTATACAGGGGGAATTTTTCAGTTTAAAAAAAAAAAAAGTAGATCACTCATGGTTAAACATGTGTCCAAATACTTCTAGTATGGTCAATATTACAGCATGTGGTAGGAGCCACAGTTCTCACAGATTCCCAGGCCAGAAGGGAGATTGTGATCATCTCATCTGACCTGTATTACATAGGCCAAAGAATGGTCCCAAAATTCCTAGAGCAGAGCTTTTAGGGGGAAAAAAATCCAATCTTGAGTAAAAAGTGAGTGGTGGAGAATCCATCATGACCTGTGGTAAATTACCATTCAGCTTGCACCTTATCAGCCTGAATTTGTCTAGCTTCAACTGCCAGCCATGTTATACCCTTCTCTGCTAGACTGCAGAGCCTGTTATTAAATATTTGTTCCCTGTGTAAGTACTTGAAATCACCCCTTAACCTTTGTTTAATTAAGCTAAATAGAGTGAGTTCCTTGAGCCTATTCAGCAATTATTTTAATCCTTAAATTGGGAGAATTGGGAGAAGAGCTAGGAGAATTACTTACTAACATCCTTCAAGTATGAGCACCAGAACTGAACCCAGTATTTCAGCAGCACTCCCCAATTCAGAGGTAACATAACCTCTGTATTCCTGCTTGAGATTTCCGGTGTATGGATCCCGAGAGCACATTCGCTCTTTTGGCCACAGCATCACAGTGGGAGCTTATGTTTATCCACCATGCCCCACCACCTGTTTCTCAGGATGACTGCTTCCTAGCAGAGTGTCCCATTGCATATTCTTTATTTCCAGATGCATACATTTGTACCCAGTTACCAACCAATCCAGTTGCTCTGAATCAGTGACTTGTTCCTTTCATTGTTTGTTACTCCATTTTTTGTGTAATCTACAAACTATCAATGACCTAGACAAAAACAAAATGTTAAATAGAGGGACAAGAACCAATCCCTGTGTGACCCCATTAGAACCAGCCCTGGTTGATGATGATTCCCTATTTATAGAGACCCATCAGCCAGTTTCAAATGTCACCTAAATTTTATATCAGTCTAGTTTTTTTTAAATTACCATGTCATGCTGCACCAACTCAAATGGCTTACAGAAATTATATATTATTTAAATTGGACAGGATCTAGTCTGTCAACTCATAGTGATGTGCATTAATTATATCACCCTCCTTGAATTCATAATTAGGGTCCTGTATTAGCTGATATCAGGCCTATACATAAGGTAAACAGAGGGGTGTTTTTGAAAATTGGCACAACACTAGTAGCCTTTTTTCTAGTTTTCTGGAACTTATTCATCTGTGCTTCAAGACTTATTTATTTAACATCCTCCAGCTATACAAGTAGAATGGAAAAAATTCACTACATAATGAGACTGCTTCTTTCCCCCCCCACCCAAATACAGACTAGATAGTTACTGAATACTTATGCCTTTTTCTAATGGATAATTCTACCATTTCCATCAGCCAGTGGCCCAATACCAGTGTCAGGTTTCTTCCCACCCTGCCCCTAAACTCCTTATTGCCCTTATCTCTACTGGCTGTAATTTCTCCTTGGGTCCCTGGGCATCCTTAATAATAAAAAAGTAAAAATTGATAAACAGCTGCCTTCACTTCTCTTCTCAACCCACAGCCTTCTTCCACTGTAGGCATCTAGTAAGCTGTTCTTAAATGATTCCTAGTTATCAAAAAGTTGGCTTTAAAGAGTAGTCCTAGCTATGAAAGAGCAAGAGTATTAAGGAAGCAGAAAGATCAAGGGATTTTTGATGTTTGGAAAACAGCTGCATGTGGAACACCACCGTCAACCCCTTACATTGGGGTAGGGGAAAATGCTCTAACTCTGCATGAGGTACCACCTATGTTGGTACAACTCCAGCACCTCCCTGTATAGCCCCTCCACCTGAAGAACTCTGCAGTATATAATCTAAGGCACATTAGACCTTACACTGGAGACTCTTAATCCATGCTTGCTAGAGTCCTAACTGCCTCACACTAAACTATGGAATGAGCTAGAACCTCAAATGTTTAACATTTGAGACTAAGTTATAAATCCTAGCCAGGCCTCATGAGAAAACAGGCAATTGCCTCCAGAGAGCCATGTTCAATGGTGACCTGGCTGGGAAGTCTAAAAGCACATGCTGTCTTCTTTTTACTCCACCATTAGTTATTAGAAGGCTGTTTCCAAGACTGGAGGTTTTAAATTATGACACCCAACTTGCTTTAGCACATACTGGTAAGCAGTCCTCCTAGGAGCTAACTCTATTCAGGGTCCAAGTTGTCACACACAGGCCCCAGCAATCACCTACTTTTATGTTCGTGAGATGAACTGGATTGTTTCTCCTGCTGAACAATCCCTGCTCCTTCCCTTCAAAAGAAAAGAATCCGGCTGCTTAAATCTCATCCTTGCTCTTCAAACAAAGAGTAGAGAACATAAAATTTTATTTGACTCAAAAATATGTACCAGTGATTTACAAAGACCATCTTTAATACTACAATTTAAAAATGGGTCATAATTATATTTGTTTAAAGAGAATAAAAAGACATGTTAAAAGCCCATTTTACAATATTTACCCCATCATAAAAAAAATCATATTGATATAAGTTATAAATCCATTTCAGAAGCAAGATTTTGTCCCCAGGTGACTAGATATATACACACAAATATATATATGACATATGTAAGTGACCTATAGGTGGCTTGGGGAAAAATGGTTTTGTTTTTAAATGAAAGCTGCACTACAATGGAAGGTAGAAATAAAGACGCCACACGTGAGACGTGGTGGAGAGGGCAAAGTGACAAATACAGCAAAGCTTGGCAGGTTTATGACAAATCTTTTTTTCTAAAATAAACGCAGTGTCTTCATACAAGAGGTGTTTACGGGGGGAGCTACATGTGAGTGCCATAAAGGACAATTGCTGTATCAACATTCGGGTATTTTGGCAATGTTGCGCACGCATGTGGAGATACACCTTGTTCAGCTTGCACTCGCAAAGATGAACCAACCACTAAGCAGAATTCCTAACTTAGTTGTAGAATGTTTGAATCTAATTGCTTGACAAGTCAATCCAAAGCAAACCCAGGAAGTGTAGAAATCCGTAGGAAAACATGCAGGTGGAAAGGGGAGTACTGAACATGCAGTTATTTTGGTCTCTTCTTATGTAGTGCTAAGATCGTGCCTTATGTGGCCTTAAACCCCCTTAGATTCCCATATGTTCATGTTAGGCTTCCCCTCTGGGTCCTGTGAAGACCACAGGGGGTGCACAGCTGCTGCCCCCTCACAAGGGAGCAGATGATATGGGGCACTATGTTTTGGTTCAGGTGAGTGAGGCGCTGTCAGAGTTGCGCAGAAGACTCGAGGCTGCAAGGTGCTATGTGCCCTCCATGCCTATTGAAGGCAAAGGGATTTGAGAGGGATCAGCACTTCCAGCCATTGCTCAGTACTTTGCAGGATCCAGTCCAGAGCCAGAGAGGGTCGAAGTAGCTCACTGTTTCTCCTCCCCCGGCTCTGTGCATACAAATCTTGATTCTCTTCAACTTTGGGACACCACAAGATTCTCTTCCTCCAGTGAGAAGATGAGTTTTATAATGCTCTGGGTGATTGTGTGTTTAACACCTATCAGCTTTAGCTTTTTCATACTTCTCTCTAAAGAAATCTGTGTATTGTTCACTCTCCGAAGTTGGCAACACACACTGGTGTACTTCCAGTTTTCAGGGGGCGTTTCCTTGAAGCATATCCCAATGG